TGTACTAGAAAGTCGCCAGTTCTCAGCTTCCAGCTCCCCAGCTACTCTGCGTACTAAAGTTGTACTACAAAGTCGCCAGTTCTCAGCTTCCAGCTCCACAGATTGCTTTCGCGCGCTCGGCACGCACGATCTCCGCAGAGGGTTGCGCGCACAGCCGGCAAATCGCACTCTCGCCTGTATTTCGCGCACTCGACACGCACGATCTCCGCAGAGGGTTGCGCGCGCAGCCGGCAAATCGCACTCTCGCCTGCATTTCGCGCACTCGACACGCACGATCTCCGCAGAGGGTTGCACTTTCGGTTGACGCTGTTCGTCCCGCACTCCGCCTTTAAGAGAGAATTTATAAAGTGGGGAAATGTTTTTTCATTAGGACATCTCCCGTCCATACTCACACTTGCCTACTCATTGCATGCTTGCATAGTCATTGCATGCTTGCATACTCACCCTTGCATATCATGCTTGCATACTTACACTTGCATACTTTGACACTGGCATACTTCGCACTTGGATGCTTTCGCTCTTCCAGTGTGAGTGTCGAAGTGTAAGTGTCGAAGTGTCAGTGTTCAAAGGATTTTCCGGAAGAACCCTTCGCAATGCTTTCGGGAAAACCCAACCAGGTCGGTGAGTCGTGGAGCCCTGTGGTTTGGATGTCCTCCCGACCCATGCCTGTTTTTGAAGGATGCCATCAATAGCACTTGGGTTTAGCTAAGCTTGCTATCTCCATTCATCACCATTCATTCAATCTGGCTCTTGGAAACTTCAAAGCATCCAGGTTCCAGATCTGCTAGATCTTCCAGCAAATGGTCAACTAGCCTCCATTGGCCTTCGCGCAGATCCAGGTTCCAATGCGCCTGGTCTCATCATCGATGAGGAAGAAGGCGTCCACGCCCGGCGGGACGCAGGGCCTTGGGGCGCTAGGCTTTGATGTCGGATGATCTGAACTCAGTGATTTGTTTGGGATGATCTACATAGCTGAAATAATCATGGAAGTGGATGGCACCACCTGTTTGTAGAGATTTCATGGTCATCCAAGGAGCCATGCCATCCACTGACATGATCATTTCAGGGAGAGTGTCCACAAAAGACCTCTTGCAAGCTTGGGGAATTGGTGAGATAACCCCAAATGTCCCCAAAGACATGTGTCTTTTTGGGGGAGGGGAAGGAACACAAAAGCTTTTCCAATCAACTAGGGAAGACTGTTCTGGGAGTGCAGCGACAGCTGGTGAGGCGTCTGAACGCCAACGTTGCCACCTCGCTGGCCACCGTTCCTTCCAAGGCACACCTTGAAGTCCCGGACCTCCTCGTAGGCGCCGGTGACCTCGGGAGCGAGGCGGGACATCGGCGGGAGCGAGGTGCAACAGAATGACACAAGTACTGATAATGTCTCTGTATAAGAGTGTAATAAGTTTAAGCATTACGTGTGGACGAATCTATGGACTGCGAGGGCAACTAATCGGATACGCAAACATCATATTCAGTAAGTGGTCTTGAAAGGCTGAGGCAAAAGCGGTCAATGTTCATCAACTGACTAGCCCTGTGCATGACAGTTGCACAGCTCTGCAGTGATAGTCAAACCCTTGTGCCACCCGCAGGTCCAGAAGCATCAACGTTGGAGGTAACGAGGTACAAACAACGACCAACTTGACCCGCCTGACACACTGGCCGAACGCACATGCCTGACTCCAGTTCACATGGCAAAACCAGGAGACCTCGGTTGACCTACCTGCGAAGTCAAGCTACATGCTGTTGGGGCTCCAGGATTTGACCCATCCCCACATTGGCATCATTGGCCAACAACAGAAAGCCTCCGCGTCGACTCGCAACGACCAACGTCGGTCATCCGTTCCGAGGACGTCCAGGACGTCGATGTCGTCTCAACCTCAGCGAGCTCAAGGGGAAAAAAAGGCCTTCTTGCTTCGCAGTAGATCATGCGTGCAACATGAGCCGGATGGCCAATGCACGATGCTTAAAACTGTTTGAAACTGTGGTTATGACATGGGGTGCCCAGCACGTCGGGCTTTTCCGAGCTTGAGCCAAAAGGGTCATCACAGCGCTTGGCTTTCTGTGATGCCGTGTGGTTTCATTTCGAAATGGAATGTGGCTTTCACACTCCCCCTGACTTCCTCGAAGTCACATCATGTCGGGCAGGTTCATCTACCCTCCACGGTCTTCGAAGATTTCAAAGCTTCCATTAGACTTGCTTGAGTCCTCTCGAACCCTTGAGGTTCCAGAAAAACCGCGTCGCGGCTCCCAAGGGAAGTTGGTGTCTCCTGATCTGGGTCCCCAGCTGGTGGTAGTACAGGATCAGGTCCTCTGTAGATTTCCCGATTCGGGGGTGCCAAGTTGCTTCGCACCACCCTCCATCCCTGGGCGGTCATCTCGTCCAAGGTTGGCGGTTCTTCATCTTCACTGGCTAGAGTTCTCCTCCAGTCAGGTCTTTCTGCACTGCTCGACTCACTCTCCACCGGCCGGCTCCTCTCAGGTGACCCCGCATCAATTGCTAAGTCCCGCATGAACGCCAGCCAATCGTCCCGCACATCATCATCCAACGTAGTTCCATCCTGTCCTCCAGGTCCTTGTGCCCAATACGCTGGGTCATAGTCCTACCCTCTGTCAATCTCTTCACTCACCAAAGATAGTTCTCGGGAGTCTCCAGAGGTTCCAGAGCCTTCGGCTTCTCCTCGTTGTTGATGGCCACGAAGCCGCTGCCCATAGCCTCCAAGGCCACTGCTGCTCATTCCCTCAGTCATCCTCGTACTGAGGTCAGAGACTGATTCCCCATGATCTGGCTCACGTCCTTGACGATCCAGTCTGACACATCTTGAGGCAACCCTTCGGCCACTGGACCATGTTCCGCAATGCCCGGCATTGGCGGTGGTCCCGAGGTCAATGAACTGCTCATCGAGGAAGACGTCCGATCGCCCTGCCCTCTGGTAGTCGATGAACTGGACGTCGAAGTCAATGTCCCTGCCGTTGGGTCTGGATTAAGATCCCGAAAGAACGTGTACCCAACCCAGGCATCTTTAGCAGGCGGCTGCGTCTCCATTCGCCAATCATCATCTCTGATCACCCTTTCTCCATGACACCACAAAACGGTGATTCTCCGATCTTGAATGTGGCTGCAATCCATGGGTGTTCGTCGATGGATTGGATGGAAAGGTCTCATCCTCTGCCTCACATGGTGTCTGACCCACCATCCCCCTGGAAGTCGGTCCCATCGGTCTTGACCCCTCGAAGGCATAGAAAACCTGCTCCATATCCAGGGTCGATCATAGTCCACGGCTGGGGCCGTTCCAGTTGCCGTTGATGATTCTCCTCCAAGCTCTGCCGAAGATCCTCCTCTCAGAGCAGCCGATCGCGCCCTCTTGGTGTTGCCGCCATGGCGCATTTCTACCGCGTAATCCCGGGAGCCCTCAGGGCTAGGTTCAGTGATGGGCTCCTCCTCTGACCCAACATCTCTACTGCAGGTGGGTTCATCTTCCCTCACCTGATCTTGAAGTCCATAAGGTGGATCTACATACTCATTTCTTGTCGGCCCAGTGGCTCTCTTCTTAGAATCACAGCCGGCTTTCCAGCTGGTGGCCAAGCTAGCTACCATCGCGGCTACGGCCAGGCTCTGAGCGGCCTTGCCTGTGAGACCTGACGGCCGCCAAGTCATCACACCCGCTAGCCCACCTACCAGAGCTGCAATCCTGGCCACTTTGGACCCTAAACTCTCAGAGGAAGCTTCCACCACCGGTTTCATTCCCATTGCCGCGAAGAAATGCTGCCATCGAGCCGCCACTCCAATCGGCTTCGTCAGGAAGTCGGCCACCAGATGTTGACCTGGAATATGAATCACCTTCCAAGCGCCCCATTTGACTCGCTCTCGTAGTGCATGAGCTCGAAGGCGAAGGTGACGTGTCCTCCAAGGTCCATCTGGCGCTTCCAGGATTCGAAGACCAGCTTGGTTGTCTCCCCCCAAACGGCATTCCGTTCCCGTCTCATCTCCAGTCCCTTCCAAGACGTTGGTCAATGCTGCCAAGGAGTCCCCCATAGTCATAGCTTCCGTGTAACACAGCAACTCAGCCTCCGCACTCGACAACCTACAGAACGCTTGCTGCCTGCATTCCCATTCAACTGGCTCTCCCCCATAGGTTCCAATCACGCCCTGGCACCCTCTTCCAGAAGGAGGTCCAAACGATGCGTCTGAGAGGACATCCACCCTCATAGTGGGATGGTAGTGCTCCCCGGGGATTGAGGACCGTGCTCGTCCATAATGAAGCGACCATGCCAAGGTGGTTTTCAAATATCCCTACATCTGACATCCATACTCCAAGACCCTTTTTGGTGTTCGGGTCACCTGTCGTCCCATCCAAGCCACTCCATACGCCAGGTCGGGCCGGCTTCTCACTGACACCCACAGTAGTTCGCCCACCACACCTTGCGCCTTTCTCACGTCCTCCAATGTAACCTCCGCTTCCGGCTCCTCATTGGGCACCCCCGGGAAAGGCACAGTAGCCGGAGTCACTGAAGGATGTCGACTGAGCAGTTCCTGGATGTAGGCCTGTTGTCCCACATAGAGCCCGCTATCCTCCTCCGCCGAACTCCATCTTAGCTCAAATCCGCTGAACTTCGTCCATCTCTCGCTGCTGACCCACTCCGCCGGGCTGCACTTCCACTCCATCTCGATCCTGCTCAAGGCTCCTTTCACGATGTCCTTGGCGCCAACGACGATGAAGTCATCCACATAGACCCCAATGAATCCCTTCGGAGGCGGTTCCTCCTGATCCAGCGGTCTTCTCTCAACTATCTTCCAAAGGTTGGGTTCCGGTGTCTCCCGAAGCTCCAACGTCACCCCTTCATGTTGCCATTGAAAGGATCTCATCAACCGATTGCGGTAGGTCGCCCAGTCGGCCGGCGAGGATCGAAGTCCGTATAGGGCGTGTTGAACTCGCCATAGTTCTCGAGGTCCAACAATGCCCGCTTCCACCAAAATGCGTGGCGGTTTCACCACAACCAATCGTCGACTGGAGTCCTCCCTGGGCGCCAAAAGGAAGGCCGTCTTGACATCGCAAGTTGCGATCTCCCAGCTCATGGCGGCCGCCTTCCGAAGAAGGCATCGGATTGTTGTTCCGTCGGCTCCGCCAGCGTACAGGTTCTGGGACTCCTCCTTGCCTGGGGTTGCTGCACCACTGCCATCCAGAGCTTCAAGCCGGTTGCCACAGACCACTATGCGAGCTCGTTTCTTCCCATGTGGGGCCTTAATAGTTGGAACCAACATCCCAGGCGCCACCTCCATCGCCTCAAACAGTGGATCCTTCTCCAACTCTTCCATAGTCGTCGGACTCAATGCTCGAGTTCCTTCAATCAGGGACTGGTACTCATCGGTCATCGGGGGCACCCACGCCGCCAGCTCCTGTCTGACTCGTTGAAGAGGGACTGCATAGGTCTGCAACACCGCGGGTGGAGGAGCTCCTGGATCCTGCAGCTCCAAACCCGCTTCATTCTTCACCGCAGCCAGCCTCCAACTCCAGCTTACGATGTTGATCCTCCAAATGATCCTCTTGCACCAACAGTCCAGCTTCCAAAGCAGCCATCCATCGTCCCCTCTGACGGCCCTGCTCTTCTCCAATGGCCTGATGGCGCAACTCTTCACTCCACAACCTCTTCATCAGCAAGTGCGACCTCACCTCCATGGCGTGCCACTCTTCAGCTTGGTCCCAAGAGCAATTGAAACCCTTCCACCACAGAAACCGCAGGAAATCTGTGTCGCCTCCACCAAGTCCAGCGTACCTTCCACCACCGCTTGCATGGAGCTCATCACCACCCCACAGCCACGAAGATCTCTTGGGTTCTCGGTCGGGACCTGATGTGGATGTCTTGGTTGGAGGAGTCCACAATCTCCACAGCACACCATTGCAAGCTCACCCGAGACATTCCCAGGCTCTCCACCCCGACACTTCCCCTTCCGACTCCGGCTCCGTCTCATCGACCGCCTCATCGACTTCCTCCTCTTCGTCCGCAAACTCCAGGCCACCACCACTGAAGTCCCGCTCCAACTCCTGCAGGTAATCCCTCAGCGGACCGGAAACCTCCAACTCCACGCCAGCTACCTCTCCTTCACGATCCCCCCCACCATTGGCTCCATGGGTTGATCAGTGGAGTCCCCCAGGTCATTCACATCCTCCCCAGGTTGCCATACCGACAGCGAATTCAATGGAGTAGGTTCCGAATTTTCCAAAATTGGATTGCCCACGGGGTCTGTAACTGGTTCTGTGGTCTCCCCCCCAGCTCGTAGTACACGAAGAGCTGGCTGGACTCTTGCATCAAAATGCC